AAGCGACACATCAGTCGACAGCAGCTTGTGACCGAATAAGATCCTTCACAATGGGTATGGGGTTAAGGTGATCTGGGAAGACGGTTTTTTCTGTTGTTACGCCCAACGGCACAAGCCCACTATACCCATTTGCCTACTCAGAAGCGGTGTTTGACGCAAAAAAACCGACACGGAAGGAGTCGCAGTCCCCGTCGATTGCTCAAAGCCACCTTTCATTCGATCAGCTTGTCACTAGGAAATGACAACAGGCATGGGAGGTGGGAGATGATTGGTGGTTGAATCTGGATGTTGGAACGTGCGGAAGTGCGTTTCTTCCACGCCACAGCCGACGTTGCGTGCTTCGAACGCCACAGAAATGCGATTTCGGCTACGAGGCCCTGTCCACTTGGACGTCGACACACCGTTTCAGCGCGTCCCCTGTATTCGCCCTGATCCTAATTCAACAGCACGTGACTCGTGACATGGGAGATGCCAAGACGGAGTGGTTTCTCGCTTGCTTAAAGATCAGGCTCGTTGTCTGGGCTAATTGCTGGATCCTCCATCATGTCACATCTCGTGCACACGACCCACGTGTCGACGACAACGACGGTAGCCTGCGAATTGAGCCAACTTTCACGACCACTCACGGACACAAAGACCACTGCACCACCAACACACGGAGTTGTACCTGCTCTGGTTCTGCGGGCTCTTCACTGGAGAGTATTCGATTACCACGAGAAACGATTTTGAAATTCGATCACATGCGCCACGTCGCATTACCTGAAGGTGCCGAATTCGAGTCAGAACCTGAGACACGAGGCGTGGAGAGGCACAATGGAATGGTTCAACATCCCAACCACAACACTGGTTGCCCAGGACTCCTGAATTATGTTTTCTTCTGAAACAGGTAAACCGATTCTTTCCAATATTGGAACCGACTACTTGACGTTTAAAACAGTGAGCTTGGGTCGGTGTGTGCAAACAAACGTGGGAATGGTGTAGTCGGGGTAGTTGATAGCGCGTGGTTAATAATACCAGTACATCACCACTTGCGTATTGCTAGCTTACGATCGCTCCGTGATCCACGTTCATTTTTCATGTCGATATATATATATGTACTGAGTTTAGAAGACAGGCAATTTAAGCAATTCACTCACGTCTCTAAAGTACATCTTATTTAAAGACTGTAAACAGCGAAAAAATGCTTTAAAATTCACTCCGATCGAGATGACGATCTGACATCGTGTTTAAATGACACTCATGAATGATTTATCACGAACTGATGTTTCCAATCTTGACATATTTGACAAAATTACGTTCTTGAAAAAAACTCTAAGCGCAATCTAGCCTCATTCATGGGGCTACGCATTTGAGGCGTCTAGACTCAGTGCCAAATCGATATTTTATCGATTTATTAGGTCAGTTACTTTGCGATTAGCCAATCAGACGAAGCATTTTCAACTGAAACGTCAAATCCCTCGACGTTTATGCGCAAAATGATACAACTGATGAATTGCGATTTTAGGATTGCGGAAAACTTTTGTGCTTGAGTTTCGACCCAGGTCGAAGGCCTCCCTACTCACTAGGATATAAGTAGCTTCAGACCTGGCACGAACAGCGATTTCACTGTGTGCGCAGCCTGGTGCGTCATATGTGTCGAGGAAACTAGTACTCAGGGGCTCACCACTACACCAAAAAGAGGAAAAAAAACGCACGTGGGATGACAGCGCCGAAGAGATCGGGTCGAGCTTGAATGAGGGCCTTCCGGAGGGGACGTCGACCCACTCCGTGTGCTCCTAGAATGACGAGAGTGCGATAGCGAAAGGCGGGCCGACGCGCGACCTCCTCGTAAGGCTGGAAGGGCAACTCGCAGAGGAGAAACGGTGCCGACTCGGCCCACTTTTGGCGTCGCTGAGCGCTCGTAGTTGGCACCGAGGCCTGCGCAAAAACGGTGGTGTTTAAATGCCCGCTGGTAGTCATGGGAAATATCTTTTCACGTTTTTTCAGTAAAAATCCTATTTATTTAATATCGTTACATATTCAAGCCATCCTAATCGATTTTCTGCAGTTTTTGCGAATTCTCGCCCTGAGTCGATTTAAACAAATATTTCAAAATGGGCGCCATTTCAAAATGGTGTGCAGAAATTGAAGGGAGAAAGAAAGCGCAGCCATCGTGACATCCGAAATTTTGAGTGATATTTAAACAAAGGATTTGGACAGTTGATTTAAACAACAACCAATGCTCCGTTATTTGCCATTACAACTTTAATGATTTATTAATTTCAAGGTAGCTGAGGTTTATTTCTTTAAACAAAACAGAAGTTGATTTAATTCTATGATACAGGAGGTGCCACGGAAGAATGGCATACCTATTCATATTAAATCCACGTTGGTGGCCATAGGAAATATCTTCTCATGTATTCTTTCCAGTAAAAAACCTATCTATTGAATATCGTTATATACTCAAGCCATCTTAATCGATTTTCTGCAGTTTCTGTGAATTCTCGCCCCGAGTCGATTTAAACAAATATTTCAAAATGGGCGCCATTTCAAAATAGTGTGCAGAAGTTGAAGGTCTCCGATTCGTTTATTTCAAACAGTAAAAACCCGACGTACAAGAAAAGGATGTAGTCAAGAAAAGATGCCATTTAAACTTGCAAGAAATCGGCAGAAATAAAGCGCAGCCATCGTGACCTTGGAAATTATGAGTGATATTGGAACAAACAATTTGGACAGTTGATTTAAACAGTAACCAATGCTCCCTTATCCGCATTTTCCATTTTCATGATTTATAAATTTCTAGGTAGCTGAGGTTTTCTTTTTTTAAATAAAACACAGAAGTTGATTTAATTCTGGGAAACAAGAGGTGCCACAGAAGAATAGCATACCCATTCATATTGGAGCTACTAGTGACCCGCTCAAGGTCAACCTAAGGTCAAGTCAATCAGCCAATGGGGTCCCTGCAGGTTACTAAGGCCAATTATTTCTGGCTGTAATGAAGTTCTATCGTGGATGTTTTTGTGGAATCGCTCTACGCAGGTAGATTAGCCCGTTATTTAGTAACACATTTGGCGTTGACTTACTCGCCAATTCACATTGCAGCGACTAGTGGACCGCTCAAGGTCGACTTAAGGTCAAGTCAATCAGCCAATAGGGTCTCTGCAGGTTACTAAGATCACCTCAAATCCAGCACGATCATGGATGTTTGCTGCAGAACTGCTCAACGATGGCGGAGTTGCCTGTTATTTGGCAGCACATTTGACTCTTCCGAGGGTTTGGTGTTGACAGGCCTCATCCGCGGTTAGATAGGATTGAGAACGGATGAACAGTAATTGCCAAAGGCGGAATTAGAGTGTAATTAGCATACTGGCCCAGGGCTGCGTGTGTGAGTTTAGTAAAACAAAAATTGTCGCCCTGGCAACTTCTGCCATGGCGGAGCGTTGAATGCGGCTTTGGCAGTGAGTCTCGCTAGCACAGAACATTCCGGGACTAGAGGCGTTTGGAATCGAGGTGGATTCGGTCGTGTTGGCCTCTGTGAAACCCTCCAGCAATTAAACGAACCACGGAACAGCATCAAGTCGTAAACAGAAGTGGAATGACCAGCACACAACCGAGAAATTCTGCTTTCTGTGTTCTTCGAATCCACAACCGAAGCCAAACCGAACCATACACAGGGGTTAAGATACCGCTAATGGGTGGTGGCTGAAAATTTTTGCAAAGAAGGCCGGTTTGATTGAACCCAATTTGGTGGAAAAAAACACGTTGACTTATCTATTGGCGTTGATAGTTATTGCAAAATTTATTTTACAATAACTACTCTGCTGCAGACGCTGGTTTTTAGCTAAAACGGACAGAAGTTATCCGTTTCTTTGACAAAAAACGCTTTCTCACGAATTATGCTGACAAACTCCTGTGTGGTTTTGACATCTACGTCAACGAAAAAGGCTAAAATCAGCCAATTTTGTAAGTTATTTTGCAAAAGGTGCATATTATGGACGACATTCCACAAACAACAGTGAAAAACCAACCGTAAAAACAGGAATTACACCAAATTGAATGACCCAATCATTTTATATTACTTGAATAAAATAATTTTGCCTGGGTGTAAAAGTTCAACCGACTGCACGAATTGACGGAACAGAAATCGCGTCTGTCGAATCTGTCAATTTAAACAAACACACGTGGCGGGTTGAAATTCACGAGTAGATACAATTTGCCAACGTTGGCGAAATACATTTTTAATCCCAGTTCTGGTCATGATCTAAGAAAATGGACAGTGCAGCGTTATTTTTGCGTTATTTTGTAAAAAAAACTTGACTGACGCACTCGTAGAAGCGAGTTGCACTTGGAACAGGTCTGGCTTGGAATGGTACCTCCGAGGCTGGAGAGATCATCGAGTATGTTGCCGTTCAGGCGACCTCTAGCTCCTGCGCCAGCGTCGTCACCATCGTCATCGTTGTCGGCGTCATCGTCGTCGTCGTCTTCAGAGACAGACGGTCTAGCCGTGGCAGAGATCGCACGATGCCGACTGCTGCCACGACGATGGAGACGCCGTGAGGAGCCTCGGTGGTGGCTGGATCTGCGTCGAAAAGGCAGCCAGTGCGAGAATGTGCGTTCGAGAGTGCCCATGGCAACAGCCAGTTCAGTAGACGTGGCCCCAGCGCCGGTGCTGCTGGTGCTCGCTGACGATCGCTCGCCGCCACCACGTGACCTCCGTGGAATAAGGAGGCTCAGGAGGCTGGAGAGGTGAGTGGTGTTGTTGGAGAAGTTCAGGGCCTCGGCAATGAGCGCCTCGCGAGCCTCATTGGTCGCCCTCACGACGCGCGACTCCTGCAGATCGGTGCTCGGAATGAGACCAGCTGGGTGTGAGTGAGCTCGTGAGTTGTGCGGCCTCGCCTGCTCTCCAGATGCCGAAAATAGTGAAGAAAATCGAGTAGTGTTTTGAGTAGTTATCGCTACCGCCTAAAAATAGCTTTTCACCTGTCGGTTAACCAGGCCACAACCGACTACGTGGGACTTAAAAATAAAACTGCGCGTTTTGTCATCACGCCTTCACAACGACACGACACGAACACACCACCAAACCCACGCCCCGTACCTGCCACCACGTGAAGTCGGCCGCGTCCACAATCTCCAGGATGTCGCCGACGTTGAAGGGCTGACCAAGTTCCGGACACGGCAGTTCGGGATCTTCGCGTGGTTTGTAGTCAAACATCGCTCGGACAAACATCTGAGAGGCGTGTAACGGAAAAAAGAGAGAGAGATAAAGGAATAAATCACCCTTAATCTCCACCACATTGGCTGGCTCTTGGACAACAAGCTAGGGGTTGTTGCTAGCCAAATTCATAACTCCTGGTTTTTCCCCGTTACCGTGGTTTTAACACACAAGCACTTAGACTGATGAAAAGACTGCAGGCAAGTGAAACAAAACGGTTTTAGCGTGTTGGCAGCAAATGTGACTACTTCTATTCCGTTTTCGTCTCATTTTTCACGTCGGAACTTAAGTTCACTTACATACAACGAAATTACTGCCTGTTGAAGCACAGCCTATGGGCGCTATTCAAACGTAACGAATTCAAACACGACGCTACAATCAGTTTAAACAAGGCGCAATATTTTCGAGCTGGATCCGGAGCGTTGAGTAATCAACAGCACGGTGACAGGGTGAAATAGGGGAAAAGTGCTTGAAACGCGTTAAATCGACTAGATGATTAAGCGTACTGCGTTAGTGATGGAATAACCAATCAGGATTTAGTTTTTTTTAAAAAAAAAAGGAGTTGAATTTGAGCACAGACGTACTCACCTGACATGGAGGCCTGTGTCCTTTTGTGGAAGGAGAAATCTTCAAAATAACCGTGTCCTGTAGAGCCAACTAGAAGCCACAAATAGGATGAATCAATTTTTCGATCGAAAAACGACCAATGCATGGAAGCACTAGTTGAACAGAGCGCCTGGCAGGCAGCCAATGGAACGCAAGCTGATTGTGGATCACCTAATTTTAACACACACACACGAATTCCCCAGCAGATTAAGTGCACACGAATTGTAAAAAAAAACAACTTGTCTGCTTTTGGACATCGGTTGACCAATCAGGCATCAGTTCTCTTTTCAAATTACGCCCTCCACATCAACGTGGAAATAAGAGTTTCGTTTTCAATTTCGATTAGATACAAATGCGGAGATGGTGAATGTACACTTACTAAGTACTGTTGAATATTCTCAACTGGACGTCCAAGCAGGACATGTCCGTTCACTTCCAGAATTTCATCGCGAACATGAATAAGCCCTAAAGAAGAACAGAGGGATTGGATGTTCTGCCGTAAATAGTTGATTTTCGTGATGGCGTCGTGGTATACTTGGCGTTTTCACTAAACACGGCAGAAATTTCGTGCAATGTTGCACTCTGGTGCCGCAATTTACGCTCTGAATTGGTTAATTTAATAACTGCATTCGTTACGCTGGAACTTGCTTTGTACGGGTTTTTCAAACATATACAACACGCCTATACTTTACTTGTTTTACTCGATTAAGCGCTGGACGCGGTCTTTTTGGGGGATATTCGGTGTTGTTTAAATCTTCACAAATCCAGACCCACAACTGAGGCTGGATTTGCTTAATCGGGGAGTTTAAAATAGGGGGATCATGCGTACCTGTTCTGTGTGCCAAACCCCCATGCATAATTCGCGCCACGATACATCGACCGGATGAGCTTGGACGCAGTGTCATTCCCTTGAAATAAGCAAAATAAGTTTAAAAAAAACAGGAGAAATCAACGTTTTTCGCGAGTGGAATTAATTCACGCAATTTAAACAAAGAATTTTGAGCTGGGTGCCCCCTAATACTGAGAAAATGGTGTTTTTGTAAGAATAAAATGCTAGTGATTTGACAGACAGTAGGAGGTTGCCTTGTAGGTTAACAAATAAAATGCAGCGTTTTAATCGCACAGCCAAATCGGTGATGTAAGATAGCAGAGTAATGTCCTCTGACAATCTCTGCGACCAACTAATTGCCTTCCTTGTGGACGGAAAAAAATAATTTTTTGATCGCAACATGAAGGCATTACTATCGTGTCCAAGTGCAGAGTCGGGTGTCACGAATATCCTTTCATTGTGGCTTTCTGATTTTCGAAATTTCTCGACCAACTAAAATAAACAGCGCCGGGACAATTCCCTGTTCCCTAATGATCCCATCTCCTTGGTTAGATCGTAGTACTTAAACTAAATTAAGAAAATGCATTTAACAGCTTTTTGTCTCAAAATCTGAGCAACAAGTCAGCCAATGCCATGAGGCTGATTCGAAAATGGCGCGGCAAATATTTCAGTTGCAATTTAAACAAATTATCCAGTGACCAATAGGCGATGGCCTGACGATTGCAAGATTAACTGCAGAGATTTTTATACGCACACAAAGCACCGATTTGATTGGTTGGGTGTGGACTGGAATCACAAATGCAGCAGACGATCCTAGATCCCTAAATACGTCTGGTTGTGCTAAAAATGCCTTCGTTGCTCACGCGAAAAGCGAATAATTCAGACCACGGCTGGCGTTTTTAAGCCAGGATACTGCTGTCAAGCCTAGAGTCTGTGAAAACAGAGTTTTGTACACTAAAAAAAGACCACTCTCCTTCCAGCCGATTCCACAGTTGGCATCGGTGAAGCTGAATTTGGTTTAGCGCGCTCTCAAATACACACCTCGTCTAAACAACGCCCGATTTTTTAAATAACGACTTGATCGACTGAATTAACTTGAACACGCATCCACTTGCAAATTTTCAAGTCATCATAATAATCACTTAGAGAATCGAACCTAATTTGACCAATCAGATGAACCTGCACTGCGAGGGAAATATGAACGAAACGAAAACGACTCACAATGGCTTCGCCTTTGGCCTTCGAGATCTCCACGAAGAGGACATTCGAACGGTGAGACGTAGTGCGCGGTGGTCTACGATGGAACCGTGCAGGTGTCTGAGACGCCGTCGACCTATGACTCGCGCTGTGCCCTCCACGACAGTGTTCGCAGCATCTGTGAGCTTGTTTTCCGTCCATTGTGTTGTTGTTGTTGTTGTTGTTTAAATTAGCAAATATCAATTCGTCGTGTACTTGTGAGTGTGTGCGGGGGGATATGTCACAATGACCAGACCGCACCACAGATTAAAGTGACACGGGATTAGAACGTGCGAGTGGGACAACCGCGCGACCAAGTGCAAACGCACACGCGTTGTTACAAGGGCACCGCTTTGAAAGCCGCGCCAGACCTGCCAGCCACTCACGTTGATGTGCGCGCAGCGCCTCCAGCCAATGAACGATCCGGCTGTCACGTGTGCGTGCGTGCGCACGTCGCCACACTCGGTGGGAATCTCGCCTTATACGGTACGCTGTATTGATTGTTACCCACAACAGCACGCCTTCGTTACGGGCCCTTGTTCTTGTAGATCCCAGCAATACTGTCTTTGTAGACAGCCATTGCACCAAAAACATTAGCATTTTCGCCAGTACTTACAACCACGTCAAAACTGCATGGCAATACTACTTCGTACAAGGAACCAAGTAGTATGCACGTACTTGCCCAGGTACATTCTGATGTGCCTTCACTTAACTAGACCTGTTTCGAATTCTAGTCTACGCATGATAGGTGACGCTTTCTGAAGTATTTCGTATCAGAGTTTACAAGTGTAGTCGAATGGTGAAGAATTGACAATTTCATTCCAAAAATTGATAAATTGACAAATGGCCTTGATTTTTGCATCCCTCAAATTTAAGCAATAAACTGAAACTGAAACCAATGATCTTAGTCTACGTAAAATCAACCGGTCAGAAATCAATAGCAATCGATTTTTGTGCTTTGTCAGTGAAGGTGTGGTGTGGAATTTGTACGATTAAAACCTTATTTAGCTCTCTCGGTAGCCACTATACATTTGCACAAACTGGGCACAAATTTCCTGCAAATTGTTGTTTTATCAATCAATCAAAATTTAGGCCGGTGTGTTTAAATCAAGGGAGCCCCCGGGAGAACTTGAACGCGTTTATCAACCAATGACAATATCCCGTTGGATAACACTGATGTAAACGGTGTTTAAGGTCAGGTCTCAGACGAAACACGTGAATTCCAATCACGTTGTGACCTTGTGGATGGCGGAGACTTCAATAATTGGCGACAGAATTTTCCTGCTGCACCTAACAGAGCGCCGCTGCCTCCAGATTTTAACCCCTTTTCCGGATACGATGCAACAAGGTGACCTACCGCGTTGATTTCGGTAATATTTGTGATTTCAAACTCGCGATCCTAGAATGTAACCAGCCTGGTACAATACGCTTTCCCAGCGATATCTAAACAATCGCATTGATCCAATCAGATATTAAAGTGGCGACCCAAGGTCATATCGAATTCCCAAAATCAGCCAATCAGAGCCAGGAGGTTGACGAATCTGGCAAGCCAGTCAAATTGCGTAGTCTTCCTGAGCACTCAAATGTCACTGGTCAATGGTACGGCAAAATGGCTGCATTTAGCGGTATTAAAGCCGCGATTTATGTAGAAAAAAGCGTGACATGGGCGCAAATTGCGTGACGATTCTTCACAATGTGTTTTTGACGCCAATGAAAACCACTGGCAATGAAAAAAAGGTTACATCATTAAATCATGCGCCTCATCTGCAGCGTCCGAATTGGTGTGTGTGTGTACAGTTTAATGCTTTAACAAGAGGGCTAGAACAGAGCTGAAGGTCGTAGAGCTGATTGACGACATCTCAGATCTGACTACTCTTGGGGATCCACAACACCCCAAGATTGCTCATCGTTGGTTTTGGCACTATTTACCCTAATTCCCTAACACGTGTTTTAATACGCTTTTTATCAGGTCAAGGTCAACCTTGACTTGAATTAGTGGACACATTTGACAACTCACTCCGTACGTGGCTGACGTGATTAAAGCACTCTACACGAGGTCTGGTCTTGTTGTTGTATGAGCGTGGGAAGGTCGGTGCTAGCGTCAAGAAGGGATCTGGCCTCGTTATTTTAGTGGTTTTCTCTTTGTCACGGGCAATCGTTACAAATTTTGGCAGTGCAGGTGAGATTAGTGACGAGGGGATGGAACGATTACTCGAGCAGCTAGTTTCGATGCTTGCTTGTCTCTCCTGTGTTGTCTCTCCTGTCATCGTGGCGTCTGGACACGTCAGTTCCACCGCTTCCTTCACTTGTCGCCTCATCTTCCAACGAAAATCGTGGTTGATTCCACGTGGACCTCTCCGATGGGGTGGGTCGCGTCGTGATCGCAGTTGCATGATGTGGCTGTGGTTGAGGGTGTGTTTTGACAGTCTGCGTCGTCAAGATGAGTGTTTGGAAGCTGCCATATCGACATTCCCAGGCACTGCTTGTGTAGTTGACAGAAGAGTGTGGCGGTTTTAGCGTGAGGTTGGTGCATTTATCAAGCAACAGACTTAGCAGACAGTTGACGCGGTTGGTTAAGCAGTCCCCAGGGGATTCGTGATGTGTTCTGTTTGTCTTCTGTCGTCGTCGAATCGCCAGCAATTTGAGTCCTATTTTATTATTACTTCTATTCGCCAACAAATGGTACACAACCGACAAGTACTCGACGCGACAGCTTGTCTTCCAACCAGCCAAATATGAGGTACAACACGACGACACTGATTGAAGGGGTCACGCCCAACATTTGTCTGACAGGAGGCATCCTGGAAGTTTGCTCCCTGACGTTCAAGGATGTGGGTGCACTTCAGGTTGCCTCGGGGTTTCAGCAAACACGCC